GTTTAAACAAACCAAGAACTTCTTGTGAGACACCACAGGACAAGTTTAAGGCTTTCTTTCTCTCCCCCACCCCCCCAACAGAATTCCAAATGACTATCATGAGTTGCCTTGTGAAATACTGAAGTAGTTACATTAGTATGTTTATTATCTTCCCCTCTTAAAATGGGACCGTGCAGTCAATGGTGTTGACCCCTGGAAAGCTCCCATAGCCTCACAGAGGTGCGTGCCATGATAGTTCATTCTTACTGGGTTTGACTAACAGCCACAAGTGAATAAGGCAGGGAGTTGTTAAAAAGGACTGGTTATCTGCTAGAATTTTGTATCTTTTCCATTATGTTCACGGTCTTTTCCCAGGGAATCTGCCTAGGAAATAAACTTTCTATCGTTTTGTGAGATTTATAATATTTTCTTTCATTTGTGGCCAGGGTTTCAAACCTTATTGTGGTATTTTCATGTGGTAACAAGTGACCAAGGTACGACAGTTTGGAGAATTACTTGTTTCATATAGCCTTGTAGGAATATATATTCTATATATCATAGATGTGGTGTTGGGGGATATGATGTAGGGGAGAACTTTGTAGAGTAGAGTTGATGGTTGGACTCCATGATCCCAAGGGTCTTTTCCAACCTAAATGATTGTATGATCGTTTAGAGTAATAATCTTTATTAATATTTAAATTTAGCTGAGTTGATGCTTCACAGCTGACAAATGAGTCTGTGTGCTCCAAAACTTCCCCCACTTCCCAAGCAGAGATGGTTCAGGTACCTTTCTGCGGGCAAACCTCTTGTGTGAATGTGCTGGGGTTCAACCTCCCTCCATGTGCAGTTCCTTGTCCCTGTCTCCCTGACCTGCTGTTTCTGGTACCGGGGCTGCTGCCAGGATCCTTTCACAGCCAGGACCTGCTTCTGTTCCAGCCTCTTTGTCCCACAACCACTGTCCTGTCACCCCTCTTAGATTTGTGCCGAGACAGATAAAGCCACCTGGTTGATGACATCCAGAAGCCACTTGGATTGCTCTACAAAGCACTCCTTTATGTGGTGTTTCTGCAGCTCTCGCTGCATAGAGACAGCATGGATTTAAGGAGCTGTATTTCTCTGTTCTCTGTGCTACCCCTGTTTATTATGTATTTGTACAGTTAGAAGAAACTGGTGCTCTTTATCCGGTTTTGAGCACCACTAGTTCAAAAAGATGTATTTTTATCTTGTTTTCAGGGTAAGGAGAGGTTGTCCTGCTATGTGACACAGGTACATTCTTACCTGAACAGGGAGAAGTGGCTGGGCTAGGCTAAGCCTGGAGCTTACTGTGGCACCAGAAACAATACCCTTGACTTGATGGCACAGGTAAATCATGGGAATATATTTAAAACTCTATAGATATATTGTATGTCTTTATAATTTTGCATTAAATTTGTGCTGCTTTCTTAAGCCCTGTCCTATCACAAAGTGGAAGTTCAAAGCTGTGGTCATTATACCCCGTATTGAGATTATGCCCTGTGGTTAAGGCAAATGTCTGGACAAATGAAGAAACATGTATGTATGGGTTAAATAGCTGCTAGGAGCATAAATGCCTGGCCAGTGGTGCAGAAATTCCCTCCAGATGCTTCTGTTTTCCCTCCACCTGATCCCCCTTTCTTTTAGTTCTGTTATTTACAGTGATCTCCGCCGAAGGAGTTAAATCTCTCCGGGAATCGACTTTTTTTCACAACGAGCAATCCCAGGCTTAGACAATTATCTGAAAATCCAAGGGCCATCCAGTGAGTTATGTGGGTTGAGGCAATTGGAAGCAAGCTCATCACGAAGTGTACAGTAGAGCTAATATATAAGAAGGTGAGCCTGAGGCATTTCACAGGAGAAAAATAACAGGTAATTATCACTTGAAAGATTCTTACAGTCTATTCATTATTTGGATGTAATTAACTGAGAGAGGCAAAATATTGCAGCCTGATAAGGTGGGTATTTGTCTTAAGAAAAGGTCTGTGCTCTCTGCATGGAAAAACTGTTCAGTTGAATTAAGGCTATAAAAATTCATGTATATAGATAGAATGAAAAGGGAAATACAAGATATTGAAGGTGAAGTATCACTTTGCAAGATCTGGCTTATCGATACTTGCTTTTGCTGGTTTTGATTTCTAACGCAGCTGAGTGAGTACAACATTGCCCTTGGCTTTGCGTTACGTATTACTATACTATTAATCACTATAGCGGTTTAAAACCATTGTCGGTTATAAGTAAAGCCATAATCTTTCTTTTTACACGTATGTTAACATTTCCGAGCTACCCCAAACCAGAATTTCTCTGCAAAATTTCCAAGCCCTGGTTTATTCACCAGCTCGAGGTTTGCTTTGCAGCTCTGCCTCCTCAGAGCAGCGGTGGGGAACTGACCCCCCCTTCTCTCGGGCAGGGGGTTATGAGACTGTCCTGAGCTGCAGCAGGAGCTCTTCCCACTTGCCGGGGACTTGCCCGCGTTCGGTGTCACCTCCTCCTCAGTCTAACGACCAGAGGAGAAAACCACACCGGACTGGAAGTCAAACCCACCAAGTGCGCGATAGAGATTGAATCAGTGCATTTCACAGCCGACGTTTAACAGCTCTCTAATCTAATTACCTTTAATAAAAAGGCCATTCAATTGCAATCCTAACCGGGCAGTTAAAGGCATTCCCCGAGGTCTTCGCACCCTTCCTGATCCCCTTAGCATTATATTTGCCTTTTAGCTTGAAGGGAGAAAGGAGTTTAAATGGCGGTCTTCTGTGGAGGGCTCCCACCAAAGCGGCTTTCTCTGGATTTGCCGGAAGGCTCCGTGCAAAAAAAAAAAAAATAATAATAAAAAAAAGGTGATACCGTAGAGAGGAAGGCAGAAGCAAACCTCCCGCTAGTTGCATGAATTAATGTGCTGTGTGGATTGCTTGACACAAGCCGATTTCCCCTCCTAAGTGAGGACCAGGGGACAAGCTGGGACTTCAGCGTGTGGCACTTGCGGAGACGGCAAAGGCTGCGGCTGGAGAAAACGGGGGCGGGAAGTTTTGGGAGGAGGGGGAGAGGGGGCAGCTTCTTGCTGCGACTGCCTCCGTCAGTTTTAGGCAAACTTTCCCGTGGGGGGAGGAAGAAGGAGGAGGAGGCAGATTTAAGACCAGTAGCTGCAATGTTTAACCCGGTCATAAAGTCCGGGGTGGGGGGTTTAGCGCAGGGCTGGGAACTGCGTGGGTGTCTGTCGGCGTGATTGCGGAGAGGTGTCATCGCCGTGTCCTGTCGTGACTTGGCACCGCACGAATGCGGCGTGGAGGCAGGACAGTGCGTGTTAGGAGGGAGGAAGGGGGGCACCCTCCGAGCCAGCTGGTCTTGTTCGGCCGCTTTGCGGGCAGCCCCGCCTCCGCGGGGGGATCACCGCAAGCAGGCGCCCCCCAAGGGGGTTGTCTAAGGGAAGGAGGGGGGTGCCGGCGTGTCTTCATTTTTTTGGCTTTTTTTGGAAAGACCAAGGAGCCCCCTCACCCCCGGAGCAGCCTCCCTCCTTCCCAGGGGCGGTGTTGAGCGGCCCCGGTGGCCATGGCTTTGAGAAAGGGGTAGGGACCCCTCCAGGCAGGACAGCCTGACACCCTGTCACCTTGTGTCGGTGACATCGCCCCCGAGGGAGGGGGGGTTGGTGTGTGGTCGGTGTGACCCGCAGCCACGTCCTTTTCCTTAATCCCTTCGCTACGTGCTCGGAGGTGGGAAGGGGCAGCTCGGCTCCGGGACAGGCGTATGGAAAAGATGATGAGAAACCAAGAAAGAGCTCAGAAAAGTAGCTTTAATTAACTTCCTGGTGGCTAATTGGGGCATTTAAACCCCACCTGAGGGGGGGATTTGGTTTGGTTTTGAAAGGAACCATCACCGAAACTTGGAGTTTCGACCAAGGGCAGGGGTCCCTATCTGAGCTGGGTTTTGCAGTCTCGATACCCGGTGAAGGGGGTGTTAGGGAGAGGAAAAAATGTTGGCATCCGAGCCGTGTTTCTCTGGGGGTTTCCCTCTTGCCCAAACACGGGTCCGTCGTTCCGTGCCCCACCGAGAGGCCCCTTCCCCGGGTTACAGGGGGGAAAGAGGGGTGCTCCTGCCTTTTCTGAAACTAAAGGAAATCGATTCCTCTTTTCCGGGGGCGAAACTTCGATTACACGTTTCAGTGCTGACGGAGAAAGTAAAAATATCGCTTGGGGGGGGGGGGGAAAAGTTTCCATTTTCTGAAAAACAAATGAGGTCAATCCTGTGCATCTAGAAGAGGTTTGGGGGTCCTTACGACCAAAACGCTGCTGCCTTGTCGCTTTTAATTTAATCTGTGCCTTTAGAGGCGTTAATTTAACCTGAAGGGCAGCATAACTGAGGTAACGACCCTGCTGCCTTCCCTGCCTCCGACCAGATTGTTCTGCGGCTGGAGGATGCGCTAAGAGGGGGAGGCTGCAAAATACCACCGATTTCTTCTCCTCCCCTATAAAACTAGCTTCTGTGCGTGCCTCTCCATTTTTGAGTAGACCGGGGGAGAGTTTGAGGCAGAAGAGAGTATTTGAAAATAGGACCAATCTACACATAGAGTGTGGACGTGTAAAAATACCCCCCCACACGTATGTGATGATGATAATTATACACCTATATTACAGATAGGCCCCCGTGCTTGTATGTGTTTGATGCAACAGCGTAATAAGTTAACGGTAGCTCTGTTATTTCTAAACGTGTTCTGAAGCTCTGCTGTAAGGGGAAAGCGTTTTGCAGTTGAGAGATGGGGTGATCTTTTCTGGAAAAAAAAAATACAAAAACCAAACCAAAACAAAAACACTCCAAACCAAAACCCCCAAACCCAACACAAAAAAAACACCCCAAAAAAACAAAACCAAAAACAAACCCCAAAAAACAAACAAAAAAACCCCCAACCCCACAAACCCAAACATTTTCGATGTTCTGCATTGCTAGCCTCAATTTCTTTGGCTTTCGCGGTGCTTTGAATAATTCCTGCGGCGGAATTTCTGCCCCCGGCCGCGATGCCCAGGTGTAAGGCGAAGGGATTTGGGCTGGATTGTAGAGGAGCTGGGGGCAGCCCCCGCAGCTCCCCCCGCACCCCGAGCCGCAGCCTGGCGCTGCGGGCCGGCTGCCTGCGGTGGAACAAAAGCTCTTGGGTCCCCTCCTCACGTCGGCCACCGGGCGGCCGGAGGCTTGGCAAAATTATCGGGGGGCTACTGCGATTTTTATTTACTCTGTCCACTGAAACCCCCGCCTTAGCAACCCCTAAAATCAAGGACGTAAAAAAAAAAAAACACAAACGTGAGTGATGGCGAGTTTAGCCCCCTCCTCTCCCCTCCCCTCCCCCGCATGGGCGCACACTTCGCATCGCTTACGCTAAAATATAAAATCCTCTCCGGAGAAGCTGACGCCAGCAGCTTGTAATGCGGAGGAACAGCATCTCTGACGTTGAAAGAACCGGGAAGGTTGTTTAGGGAGCATCCCGATTTGCCAGTCTGCTTTTTTTTATTATTATTATTTTTGTTGGCGTTGGACAAAGTTATCTTGTGCGCCGCAAATCTTTGAGAAAGCCCCTCAAATAGCAAATGGCACGCACGGGAGGGGATTTGGGATGAATTCGTTGCAAAAGCAATTCTCGGGTTAATGTCTGACTTTTAATGATGAGTAATTTCCCCTCAATTCTCAAACATAAATGCTTTGATGGGTGGGGGAAGACCACCACCAAGTTGACTGCGGTTGCCGTCCTCTTTGCTCCCTCTTAACTGTTAAGATAGTTTTGATGACAGCGGCGATGGCTTTATTATGTGTATCGTTTTAATTTAATTAGGGCTGAGGGTTTCCCCCCCACGAAACCCAGTAAAAATAAATGATACAGTGTTGTCTGGTGCAACGAGAACAGGGAAGACACAATTAAAATGTGTTTGTGTACTATACACGCAGTGAACTTATCTCTGTCTGTATAGGTATGTGGAGATATATTTTAAAAATATATTTTTTTATATATGTAAGTTGTTATAACGTCTGATCTAACGGCAGAGGAAAAAAAAAAGGAATTACACACTACAGAAACTGGGAGGAGGGGAGAGGGGTAGAAATGGAAGGTTTCTCCCCATCTCTCTGCCGGTTTGGGTGCAGTACTACGTGTTTCTCACATGTTCCCTCTAATTAACCAGCAGAAAGTTCTTGGGCGCTGCTGGCTGGACTGGGTTTAGCGATCAGCCCCCACATGAGTCACAGGGAGCACGCAATCCCGCTGCCGCCTGAGTGACAGCCAGCGGCGCTCTGCCTGCTGCTGCTCCCTTTAAAATCCCAAACCAAGGGGAATGATTTATCAAACTCTTATTATCAAGAAAATGTCAAACGAAGGGCACCTTGCTATGCACTGACGCAAACCCAGTCTTTCCCAAGGAACTATAGAAAGCTTTGCTCTGGACTGGGCAAAATCCAGTCCGTCAATTGCCTGTGCTGCTGGTTTTACCTCTCCCGAGTCCATCTGCGGCCGTGTAAAACGCGGTAAGTGCTTAATTTCTTTTCTTTGGTGTTGGAAAGGGCCGGAGGGGGAGATCTCCGCGGATTTTCCGCGGAGCCAACGCGGGAAGCCTCCCGCGGAGCGGGGTAGGGCTGCTGCGGGGGAAAGAAGCGGGGGGGGACGGACGGTGGTACCCCCAGGTGCTCTCGGATAGTGACCGAGTCCTTGCACATATCATCCCTGACACGGGGATGGTGGGATGAAGGGGAAGAGGAAACTTGCCGTGGAGGCGGTGACCGGTAGTTTTGGGAAGACCCCCTTCTAAAAAGAAGGTGTATTTGTTAAGCTAACATTAAACTGATGGAGAAGGTAGGGATCGTCTGCGGGTTGTTTAAGGTACCGAAAGAAAACGCTTTTTAAAATATAATTTTAAACTAGATGGAAAGGCGGGGTGGACTGTCGTCAATAATCTGTTTAGTGAACACCGTAATGTTTAAAAAAAAATATAGAGAAGTGTGCGAGTCGAAAATATAAAGAAAAGAATAGGGAAAGCCAGCTGTTAATGACTTTAATCCCGCTGTGGTGGTGTGGTTATTTTTTGCGTTTCACTGTCTTGCTGTTGGGTTTTGAAGGGTGGTAGCCGGCTCAGAAATGCTCACCAGCACTATTTCGCTTGTTTTTTAACATCTCCGGCTGCCTACAGGGCAGGTTGTCTATTGCCTATATATCTATAAAAAAAAAAAAAAAAAAAAAAACCCCGATGTGCTTTTTTAAAAAAGAAAAAGAGAGAGGAAAGATCTATAAAAAAAAAAAAAAAAAAAGCCCCGATGTGCATTGTTGAATGACAGAAAGGAAATGGGGCGTAAAATTAAAGAATCTTTCTACAGTGGTGATAGGGAAGGGAGCATCCTACAGTCGTGATGTGAAATCTAACGAGGGCTGGCGGCGCAGTGCTGTAGAAACGCTTATTTAAACTCGAATTACGGGTTTGCGGACGCTGGTGCGGTTTTTCGTTTGAGTTTGTGGGGTTTTTTTTTGTGTACCTTATTGTTCCCATCCCCCCCCCGCCCCTCCCCCCCGAATATTAACGTTGAATGAGAGGGCAAGCAGGCGAGCCGGGGCACCTCCAAATTCTGCGACAGTTCTGTATCCAGGTTTTCTAGCGCACGCGTTTCGTGTAGGAGGAAAGAAATTCGTAGAATCTCTGCAGTCCCAACCTTTTTTTTTTCTTTTTTTTTTTCCTTTTTTTTTCCCTTTCTGGTAAAATATGTGACGTTGTCGTTTTAGGATTCCACCAGTCAAAGGGATATGAGCAAGCAGGTTGTGAACAGCCCTGAAACCGTTGCTCCTGGACCCCATGAAGGTGCGGGAGTTGTAAGAACCGGCCCCGAAAATGAGCCGCAGAACCCCCCGCCGCCAGCCCCGGCCGCCGTGCCCAGGCTGCCCCGATCGCTCTCCAACGACCACAAAACCCTTCTCTCCGAAGAAGCTCAACCAAATGATTTCGAGAGGACCAAAGTCGGGATCTGCAAGCTCAGCAGCACCCCGCTGCAAGCCAACTCCGCTCCCCGGAGGGAATCCGCCGAAACCTTTCCCTGCAAGCACACCCCCGGGGCCGGGGGCGCCGGGCAAGCTGCCATCCCGCCCTGCAAAATTCCTGCTTTGCAGAGCACAGGCGGGGACCCAAACCTAACCCCGGGTAAGAGCACGCTGGAGCAAAACAACGCCAAAGGCGCCTGGGTGACCTTGAGCCAGAGCACGGTGGTACTGGGCACAGATGGCAACACTTCTGTCCTCCCCGGCAGAGTGGAGGGGGTAAGTCGGCTCCTCACGGGGTCTCTTCTCCCCCCTTTTCCTCCCCTCCAGCTCGGGGGAGGGAGAGATTGTTGCCCCTCGGCACCGATTTGGGGCTGAAGCCCTAAAATCAGGTCCGAGTCATGGGGATGGGGCTGCGGCGGGGGGAGGAGGAAGGGGAGAGGGGGTCTGCGCTGCTGGTGGGTGCCAATAATGTAACACCGATATAAAATCGATAACTCCCGGCTAATTCCAATGCGTTCACCGAGCCGTGCCTGTCACCGTAACCCGGTTCAGGCTTGCGGCCTGGAACCAAAAATAAGGCGAAATCGATCAACCCCCAGCCCCGTTAAGAGGTCAGATCCTCCCGGAGAGGATTGCCGCTGGCGGGGTGCGAGGCCGGGAGGACACCGGCTCCCCCCCGGCCCTTCTCTCCCTGCCCTCCCGCGGATCTGGGTTCAGCCTGAAAGGAGGGGAGGGGGGGGGGCAGGTTTATTCTGTAAAAGCGGTTTGTTTGGTGGTTTTGTTTGTTTGTTCCCCCGGCTCTGCGTGTGCCGGGGGAAAGGTCCGCCCCCCCGCGGGCTTTGCTCCGTCCTTACCCGTCCAAGGGCACCGAGG